GGTGGGAAGGGGTGGGTAGATAGGTAGAGGGAGAGGGAGAGGGAGAGGGAGAGGGAGAGAGAGAGAACTTAAGCTTGGTGGCCTGAGCTGAGCTGCGCTGAAAGGGCATTCTGGGCTATGCGCAGTTATGCAAAGGAGCACACGGTATAATAAATAAACAAACAAGTAGGTACATAGGTACAAGGCCGTCCGTTCGTCCCGTCAAGTACCCGAACGCCAGCCTTCAAAATCTCCAACCGACCGAACGAGCCATTCCCGCTTTTCTACGCCTACAGACAAGACTGGTATTCCACTGCATTTCTCAGCTCTGCTATTCAGCTCCTTCTTCCACTCGAGCACTTGATTGATACGTTTTCGTCCCTCAAATCAAAAACCAACCGCTCGCTTACACCTCCGCAACTACAATTCCCAGCTCTCCCTCCAGCACCTCCGTCAGTGAGCTGCCATCACGCAAGTACACCCACTCGCCCCGGCCCGTCCCCTCCTTGGCATCCTGCCCCTCACTCAGCATCACGTAGTCGTAGCGCTTCGGGCCAGTGAGCGGGGAGGAGAGCCAGATCTGCTTGTTGGGCGGCTGTTTGTTGAGCACGTAGGTACCGTTAGGTGGAAATGCGAGGGTCAGGACGCCGGCCTATACACACATATCATTAGCACACAAATCTTTTATCACAGCATGAAAGTGGAGAGTGTAGGTCTGTGAATTGACCCGGGTTGGTTGAATAGCATCGGGGAGCGGGAGGACAAACACTATACTCGACATCCACCTCCTCTCTCTCCTCCTGCAGCGTCTCCAGCTTCTCGATCAACGCATCGAGGTACGCATCCGCTAGCTCGTGGTACTCCTCTGCTGTGATATCCGCCGGCGCAGACGCTGTAGTGTACGATTCTGACTCTGCCTCTTTCGGAGCTGGGTCTGCCGACTCGGGGGAGAGGCCTTTGGCGAGGAATTGGGTGGTTGAGAATGGGGATGCTGGGGTGAAGGATTGGGGGTTGGCTTGGGCGGTGATGGCGCGGGGGATGGACGTGCGAAGTCGTGAGGGGGAGCGAACGGTTGTTGAGAGGCCGCGGGCGGAACGAAGGAGCTTGGAGAGCTTGAGAGCTGTGGACGGGCGGGACATGGTTGCTTGAGTTGTCTGCTGTGGATGGGTGATGAGTATCGTATCGAACGGAATCGTAGGAATCGTAGAAAAGGGCTGCTTGAATATGGGTTGGAGAGAGAGTTTGAGGTTGAGGTTGAGGTGGAGGTGGAGGTGGAGCCTGAAGCCTGGAGATCAGTTGGGTGGTAGAAGGAAGAGGGGATGGTACTCGTATTATTGAGCTCTGGTCTTGGCAGGTGCAAGTAAATAGAAGATTTGATCCGCTCGGAATAAGCTTCAACCCCACAGTTGGCATCTCAGCCTGCTCACTTGAACGACAGCCTCCTCCCTCCCTACCGGTACTTCCCGCCCTCCACGTCCATCAACACCCTCTTCTCACACATCTCTCTATCCCAACACAACCAAAACGAAAATCACGCAAAATGATCAACGCCGTGCTCGTTTTCAACAACGCAGGCCAACCGCGCCTCACAAAGTTCTACACCCAACTCGTATGTCTCCCTCGCCACATATACATATACATACATTTATACACACAGCTTGCTCACACCAGCAGGAAACCTCCGTCCAACAACGTCTCATCTCCGAAATCTTTACCCTCGTCTCCCATCGTCCAGCCGGATCCTGCAACTTCTTGCCCCTCCCTCCGCTCCTTGCCAGCTCCTCGACCTCGCATACGCCCTCGCACGCCTCGACGCCCCACAACGACGTGCCCTCGCTCGTCACCTACCGCCACTACGCCACCCTGTACTTCATCATCATCTCCACGTCGACTGAATCTCCGCTGGCGCTGATTGATCTGATCCAGGTGTATGTGGAGGCGTTGGATCGGCTGTTTGAGAACGTGTGCGAGCTGGATCTCATCTTCAACTTTGAGACGCTGCATGCGGCGCTGAGTGAGATGGTTGTGGGCGGGGTGGTCATCGAGACGCAGCTGGAGAGGGTGGTAGAGGGGGTGAAGCAGCAGGGGCGCGTGGCGAAGCGGCCCGTCAACGAGGGGAGGGGAGGGGGTATGGGGTTAGGGAGTGGGGGGTTTGGATGGGCTGTCAGGTGAGAGTTTTGATGGGTATGGAAGAAGCTGGAATATCGGACTTGGAGAAGATGGACGGGCCTCGGACCGCAGGGCAAAGTTATGGCTTGGGGCGCACGACTTGGATGGGCAGGACCGTGAAAGTTATGAAAGGCGTGGGCTTCTGGCTGGAAACATGGACTTTTGAGGAAGGGATGGGCTTCGAACTCTTGGAAATCTATGCTTGGCGCTGGGGCCATGCGGATGGGGTTTGCTCTGTGGAGCTTGCCTGGCCAATTTAAGGGGAGGAGTCAGGCAGCGGAAACGCTTGCATGGAGACCTCCAGTGAAGAAGTACGACAAGAGAGGAAGACTGCAAGTGCTCAAGGGTGCCAATATGGCCTGGAGCACGAAAGAATGCTCCGACATCAAAGGCTATTGGCAAGGTAGCTTGAATTTGCAAATTCGTGACTACTTGCGGCTATAGAATTTATGTCCGAGGAATATCTTTGGCGCAGCGCCGAGTCGCTGAGATTTATCTCGCGGTTCCTGCATTGGACCGTAAGATTGGAGTCTTCCATCTCTCGAGCTCTGCTTATACGTTTATACAGTAATGATCCTTCAATCATAACATCATTATCAGTGCTTGCCCTTGAGCACAACTGCGATTCCCCTTCCCCCACATTCACACTTTTCAAATGAGGTGTCCCAGTGCAAACTTGCAACGCCTAAGCTCCATGCTTGTACTCCCTATTCCTACACCACTAGCTGTCTCTGACGAACAGATCTCCTATCTGACCACGGTAGACGGAGCACTCGACGAAACGGCTTCAGGAGGAGCAACTTCCGGCTCTGACTTCCTCCTCACCTGATCCTTAGTCCACATCGAGCCCGTCAACCCAAAGAACCAGGATCGAATCTATACAGCCTCAGCAAGCACTCCATTTAAATTTCCTCTCACGTCAAAAACATACCCCTTCAAAAGGCTTATGCTCCGGATTACTCTGCGCGTTCCAATCTAGAAAAAGTACTGCATAAACCGTGATGACTATATCCTATCAGCACCTATGCCTCCATATATCCTCCAATGCCACGCACAAACTATCGAGCTCAGCTGCGCAACCTTGACAAACTTCGTCCACCTCGGACGAGCCCACTTCAGCTTCGCCCTCCGCTTGTATTTCCTCTCCAGCCGAAACTGCTGTTTCTTGTCTATCTTGCTGAAATCGGGCGGCCATAATCGCGTCGCTCGGTACGGATTCGTATAGATGTTGAAGGGGATCTTGGGCTCAGCCGCCCGCCGTACTGCTGTTCGGAACATGGTTCTGATGTGGCATGAAGCTGTTGATGTTCGCTGTTCCTGGGCCTCAAATCAAGCTCCGGCCGGGTTGAAAGCTGTTGATGCCACACAAGCGAGGCACCCTTGCAAGAAACCCCACCAATTCCAAAATTGATCGTGAGAGGGACGGGGCTACTTCGCAAGAGCCACAACAGCGAAGTTTTGTGACTCAATATCAAAACAAAAGGCTCGAGAATCCACCCCGGGGCAAGTTGCTAGCACAATTGCAATCATGGCGGCCACGGTCGAGAGTACTGCAAAAGCCTTGGAGACGGCTACAATCTCCAAGACGAAGGAATTGAAAGGCGCAAGTACCCCGCCATTTGGTCCTGAGCGGGATATTTTGACCTCCAGACGTAGCTAATACGGGCATATATAACAGACTGAGAAAAGAGATACCCTCATCGCCATCGAGAAGAAATACCAGAAGAAATGGGAGGAAGATGGCGTCTTCCAGCCCAACGCGCCCACCACCACCGAGATACCCCTCCACTCGATATCCGCCGCCGATGTGCGCTCTCAACACCCCAAATTCTTCGGTACGATGGCCTACCCGTACATGAACGGCACTCTACACGCTGGTCACAGCTTCAGCGTCAGTAAGATCGAGTTCTCGGCCGGATTTGCGCGGATGCAGGGCAAGCGGGCGCTGTTCCCCATGGGCTTCCACTGCACGGGTATGCCGATCAAGGCGTGTGCCGACAAGCTCATCAACGAGGTAGAGCTCTTCGGCAAGAACTTTGAGCGGTACACCGAGGAGGACGCCGCGCAGGATAAGGCGAATGCGGCGTCCCAAACGCCGGCACCGAGTACGCACCACGAGGATGTCACGAAGTTCACGGCGAAGAAGGGCAAGGCTGCGTCGAAGGTCGTCAAGATGAAGTACCAGTTCCAGATCATGCGGGCGTTGGGGATCCCGATGGAGGAGATCCATCTGTTTGCCGATACGAACCACTGGCTGGACTTCTTCCCGCCGCTGTGCCGACGCGATCTCACGAACTTCGGCGCCAGAGTCGATTGGAGACGCTCATTTGTCACTACCGATGCGAATCCTTACTATGATGCTTTTGTGCGGTGGCAGATGAATCGTCTCAAGGAGCTGCAGAAGATCAAGTTTGGCAAGCGGTACACGATTTACTCGCCGAAGGACGGACAGCCGTGTATGGACCACGATCGGAGTGAGGGTGAGGGTGTGGGATCGCAGGAGTACACGGCGCTGAAGCTGAAGGTTAAGGAGTGGGCTCCCGATGCTGAGGCTGCGCTCAAGGGAAAGCTTCCTGAGGGTGCGAGTGTGTACTTCGTTCCTGCGACTCTGAGACCCGAGACGATGTATGGTCAGACTTGTTGTTTCGTTGGACCCAAGATTACGTATGGTGTTTTCAAGGTTTCCGAGAAGGAATTTTTTGTCGTTACGGATCGAGCTGCGCGGAATATGGCGTATCAGGGAGTTTTCCCCAAGAACGGCATATCAGAGAAGGTTGCGGATATTATTGGTTCGGCATTTGTTGGAACCCTTGTCAACGCGCCACTTTCTATCCACAAGGAGGTCCGGATCCTTCCTATGGAGTCGGTCCTCCCTACCAAGGGCACTGGAGTCGTCACTTGTGTCCCATCTGACAGTCCGGATGACTATGCTACGGTCATGGATCTCACCAAGAAGGCCGATTACTACAAGATCAAGAAGGAGTGGGTGGATTTGGAGATCCTCCCTCTCATTCAGACCCCATCTTACGGAAATCTCACCGCCAAGTTCTTGGTTGAGAAGCTCAAGATTTCTTCGCCGAAGGATACCAAGCAGCTCGAGGAGGCTAAGGAACTTGCATACAAGGAGGGTTTCTACCAGGGTGTTATGTGCTACGGAGAGTTCTCGGGCGACAAGGTCGAGGTCGCAAAGCCAAAGGTCAGGCAGCAGCTTTTGGACGCCGGTGATGGATTCGCCTACTCGGAGCCAGAGAAGAAGGTTGTGAGTCGATCGGGGGACGACTGCTGCGTTGCACTTATGGACCAGTGGTACCTTGACTACGGAGAAGAGTCGTGGAGAAAGACAGCCCTGGAACATCTGGACAACCAGGACGGCAAGGGTCTCAACACATACTCCCAGGAGACCAAGAACGGGTTCGAGGGTGTGCTCAACTGGCTCAACCAATGGGCTTGCGCGAGAACTTACGGACTTGGTTCAAAGCTTCCTTGGGATCCTCAATTCTTGGTCGAGAGTTTGAGTGACAGTACCATCTACATGGCCTACTACACCATCGCTCATTACCTCCACGCAGATATCTTTGGAAAGAACCCTGGACTGGGTGGGTTTACGGCAGCACAGATGACCGATGAAGTCTTCGATTATGTGTTCGCTCGTCGGGATGTCAGCGACTCGATGCTTGAGGGTAGCAAGATCTCCAAGGACGTCCTTGACTCAATGCGTCGAGAGTTCGAGTACTGGTACCCATTGGATATTCGAGTGTCTGGAAAGGATCTCATCCCCAACCATCTGACGTTCTTCCTTTACATCCATATCGCAATGTTCCCCCCCGAGTACTGGCCCAAGAGCGTCCGCGCAAATGGCCACTTGCTCCTCAACGGAGAGAAGATGAGTAAGTCGACCGGAAACTTCATGACCTTGGAAGACTTGGTTGGCAAGTACGGTGCCGATGCTAGCAGAATCGCCTTGGCCGATGCTGGTGACGGTGTGGCCGATGCCAACTTCGAGGAAGACGTCGCAGACACGACCGTTCTCCGCCTCTTCAACCTTCGCGAATGGTGCGAAGAGCAAGTCAAAGACCAAGACAATCTCCGCACGGGCCCGAAGAACGACTTCCTGGATGCCCTCTTCGAGAACGAGATGAACGGCCTGGTCCACGATGCAAAGAAGCACTACGAAGATACCAACTACAAGCTTGCCCTCAAGTCTAGCTTCTACGACTTCACCACCGCTCGCGACTTTTACCGCGAAGCCAGTGTGGCCGCCGGCATCAAGATGCACAAGGACCTTGTGTTCCAGTACATCGAGCTGCAGGCCCTGCTTCTTGCCGTCGTTGCGCCCCATTGGTCGGAGTATATCTGGCTCGAGCTACTGAAAAAACCTACCACCATCCAAAACGCGCTGTACCCAGATGTTCCTGCTCCCGTAGCTTCCCTCACGGCTGCGCGCGAGTACGTGCGTGCCACCAGCTCAAATATCACGTCGGCGGAGGCCGCCCAGCAGAAGAAGAAAGCCAAGGGCAAGGACATTGGCTACGATCTCAAGAAGCCCAAGAAGCTCACCATCTTCGCCGCGGCCAAGTTCCCCGCCTGGCAGGAGAAATACATCGACCTGGTTCGCGAAGCCTGGAACCCGTCCACCCAGTCCGTCAACGACAAGGAGCTGATGGGCACGATTGGCAAGATGGGGGAGATGAAGAAGGCCATGCCGTTCGTGCAGGCGCTCAAGAAGCGACTGGTAGCAGGCGAGAAGCCGGAGCTGGTCTTTGAGCGGAAGCTGGCGTTTGACGAGGTAGCCACGCTGGTCCACATGACGCCGGGGTTGAAGAAGGCGGCGGGACTGAGCGTCGTGGAGATTGTGCGGGTGGAGGAGGGTGGGAAGAAGGGGAGTGTGGTAAGTGTTGGGGGTGGGGCGGAGAGGGTAGTTGAGGGGTTGCCGGGGCATGCGGAGGCCGCTGTGCCGGGGGTGCCGACTTTTGGCTTTGAAAATGTTGAGCTGTAGGTGGGGTGATGGGTGACGGGTGGATGGCATTTGCGGGATAGAGAGAGAGTGTGTGTGTGTATGAGCTTCTATGAAGGATATGTGTGTGTCATGTGATGTTCTGCACGTCTATTGCGCATACATGCCTATACGAAGTACATGAATCAGCTTATCAGGTAGAATGAATCGCTCACGAACGTAATGCCAAAAGAGCTTTGAGGGGGGAGGGGGGGGGGTTCTTTTTTCTTTTTTCTTTTTTCTTTTTTCTTTTTTATCTGTAATCAGAGGAGGGGAATATGTACGCACGCTCATCCACCGATCAATCAATGCCTGCCTGCCTGCCTGCCTGCCTGTCTGCCTGCCTTTTACTCCCATTAGCCTGCCATGCAAGCATGTACCCCTCTCCTCTCCTCTCCTCTCCTCTCCTTCCTTCCTTCCTTCCTTCCTTCCTTCCTTCCTTCCTCCTCTTCAAGTTCCTCTCCCCGAGGTCTTTGATTTTCTCCTCTCTCCCACTTCCCACTTCCCACCTCCCTTCGTTTACCGGTCCGGTATTCTATCAAGCCCGTGTGTGTGTGATTCCGATATATCCAAGATCCAAGATATAGAATTTCAAAGATCATGATTTCCTGATGAGGGAATGCGATGCGATGAGAGAAGAGATGAGATGGAAAGATGATAGAACTTGCGATGAGAGGAAGATGGATAGATAGATGGAGAGGTGATAGTGTATCATTATTTATTACCGGTAGATAAGTGATGCATGCGTGCGTGCGTGGGAGTCATCACCTCCCGTCTACCTATCTCCTCGTGCTTCTCCTCCTCTTCATTTTTTTTTTTTTTTTTACCTATCCCTTCTGCTGCTCTCTCTCTGTCTATCTATCTATTACCAAACCGTATTCCCTTGCCTTGCCCATTCCCTTTCCCTTGCCCATTCCCTCTGTGCTTTCCCTGTGCTTCCCCTCAGCTTCCTCGCCTAACCAGGCCGGGGATCCCTCCCAAGCTCCACAACCCCGATCCGATTACATCTATCCCAAGCATATTAATCATCCCAATTCCAATCCCATTTCCCAATTCCAGTTCCATTTCCCAATTCCCAATTCCCATTTCGCATTTCCCAATTCACAAACTCGTACAT